TGAAGCCAGGCTCTTCTCAGTGGCGTCCAGTGGCAGGACAAGGGGCAATGGGTTCAAGCTACAACGTAAGAGGAACACCTTTTTCCCTGCGAGGGTGTTGGAGCACTGGCACAGGCTGCCCAGGGAAGTTGTGGAGTCTCCTTCTCTGGAGACTTTGAAAACCCGCCTGGACATGTTCCTGTCTGACCTACTCTGGGTGATCCTGCTCTGGCAGAGGGGCTGGACTAGATGAGCTTTCAAGATCACTTCCAACCCCTGACATTCTGTGATTCTGTGAAGTGAAATGCTGCCCAGCTGCTCTTCAATAAACGCGCAATTTTGACCCTTTCCACTATGGTAGTATGTGAAACCATCTTTCAGTTGTTATCACCAGCTGATGTAGGTCCAGTATAAAGTTGTGTTTATTGTAACAGATGTTATTGTAACATCTGTCATGGGACTATTAACATGTGAGATGGGAACTGAGCTAATTCTGGCTGATGTATATAGACTGTTTTGCTTTTCCCTTTTCATTTGTAGGTACTTGTTTCACAGTGGCAATCCAGAGCATCCAGGAGACATACTTCTAAACACAACTGTGGAAGTTTTGCCTTTTCAGGTATGAATTTATTGATTTGTGAGGGAGACATGAACACTTCTTCTTGTTTAAATGTAGGATCTTGATGCTCTGTTGTTCTCATACGTTTGGGTTTTTTTGTGGGATCTGTTCACAGAAAACAATTGTAACTATTCAGATGCACAGTTTCTTCCAATTCACTGCTCCTGTTTATAAAACCCCAAACTAATCTTCCCTCTCCTATGTAATTTTGGAAAATGGGAAAGCTAAGTCACTCTGCTTTTTGACTTAGTAAAAAACTCTTGGTTCAGGAACTGATGCATGTTTAAACCTTACTAGATATTGAGATACCTGGACTCTTAAATTGAGTGTATTCCTTTCTCTTGATTACTCTTTTTTTTTTTTCCCCTATAAATCAGTCTGAGTTTTATCTCAGGAGGGCACAGCCCTATTCAAATTCTATTCTTGCTTGAAGCCAGATGGTATGAATGCCTTTTCTTCAATTAGAAATTATAGCTAACCATTTATATCACACCACTCTGTGAGAGGATTAAAATATTATTTTATTTAGTATCACAAAAGCAAAGTGTTTCTATCTTTTCCAAATACCTGATGTAAGTATCTTGAAATCTATGACTAAATTCCCATATGCTCAATCTCTTTTTTTGTTTGTTTGTTTGTTTTTAAAAGTAGTAGCTTATCATGGAAGAGTTCATTTCTCCATTCTTACAGTCTGCCTTCCTGGGAGCAAGCAAAAATAGGAAATTCTGACCACCTCCACCCCTAAAAAGAAGCTTGCCAGTTGGATTCTAATTATACAGCACGATATGTGGGATATTTTATCATATTGTGGGATGTTTTATTTAAAATTTATGGAGTTTGTTTCTCGAGACCTTTGGAAATATGTTCAATCACAAAAAGAGCAGCAGCCATCATTTTGTCTGGGCCCAAGATACCACAAGAATGTCCAAGATGATGAGGAAAAAATGTGCATCAAAGTGTCTTTTTTCTTTTTCTATGGTTTTTTTTTTTTTTGCTACACTTGGCTGTAAAATCTCCCTCAAACTGAAGCATCTCTTAAGGAAGTAAAGCTACTGAGCTTCTATTGCTGCTGACACCATTTGTGGAAAGGTAAATGGGAAGTTCTGCATCTGGGCCATTCCTGTGCCATTGGTGTCAGCAGAAAATGTCACCAATATGAGGAGAGCAGCTGCAGAACAACAGCTACTGTCCTGAGGGAATGATATCTTCACCTGGGGCTTCAGTAGAGCTGGAAGCCCAATCAGGTACTTTGAGCCTGAACCTCCCTAAGCAGAATTTGGAAGAATAAAAAGCCCTTTGAAACCAGTAGTATCCCCTGACTTGATTTGTCTGGGACTCAAGCAACACACTCAGTGAAACCAATCAACTGAGAAAAAGAAACCAAAAAAACCCCAAACAAAAAACCAGATCAATCAAACCTCCCCAAACAAACAAACCAGACAACAACAAAAAACAAATCAAAGAAATCCAACACTTTTTCAGCAGCCTCCCTTAAAAATATGGATTTAAAAAAAGGAAAAAAAAAAGTTAATGAATTTAATCTCCTATTTTGTCAAGCATTTTTAATTGATTCCTAGGACATTCTTAGAGTGGGTTTTTCAGTATTGGATCATGTGATTCATGTAATTTTCCAGCTGTTTATGAAGCTCTATGACTTAACTTAATTTTTCTGTTTTTTTTTTTTTCAAAAGAAGCGTATTGATACCCATCCTTTTTCAGTGAGGCAGTGAAAATTGCAATGCTTCCCTTGCTGCTTGGATGGCTTTTCATCTCACCCGAATTCTTACATCAAAAAGTATGCCCTAAGTTTCATTTGTCCTGAGGGAAATCTCTCATTCAGCCATAGGAAAAGAAGGCAAGGTCCTGCCTCTGCTTTTCTTCTGCTATGTATACCAGTATCTGCTATGTATTCTGTTCACGTGGTAGTTAACATGCAAGTGACGTGGGGCACTTAAAAGTTGTTTGTTTTTTTCCTTCTACTTGGAAGCCAAATACCGTTCAGTTCCGGAACACTGCTGCTTTTCCTTTTTTGTGTTGGCTTGTTGAAGGCTATAAATAACTATTCTAGGCTGGCTCACAATTATTTAGAAAAGATGGATGCTGAATATATGGCTGCTGAATATATGACAAGAGTGCACACACATTTGTCTTTCCCTGGCAAAGTCATACGTCAAAATAAATGATTTATGCTTTGTTGTTCTAGAACGAAGAACTGGTATTAAGCAAAGAAACCAAAGACAAACGCTTAGAAGATGGTTACTTCAGGATAGGTATGTCCCAGTAGAAAGAAATGTGTATCGGTACTATCGCAACAGTTGAGACATTTTCATTTCAACCAAACCTAAAACTGAGTTTTGATCATTCATTTGGGGGTATGTGACCTTTTGGCTCTACTCAATATTGTTTCCAGTATTTCTTTTCGGAGACTCATGTACTGAACAAAGATGTAGTGAGACTCTTAGCTGTAGTGCAGCTACATCCAGCTTCTCAGCCAAGATCGACCGCTGAGATGGCTTTCCAGGCTGTGTAGGATCACCTCTTCTGTCCTGGGACTGCACAAGGGCCCCGGGTGTGAGCTGTGTGCTCAGCCTGTGTTTGAACCCACCCCACAGATGGTTGTCTCTCTCCACCGGGGATGAGATTGGCATTTCCAGAGCCAAGCAGCTGTGGGGAAAGGTGCCAGGATACCTGTTGTCAAGGAAGAGAAATTTTATTCATGGATTGTATTTCACTTGCTGGGACATAGGTTGGGCTCCCCTCTTATAATGAAAGCAAGTTTTTTCATCTTAATGGATTGCAGTGGCTGCATATGTGTTTTAAGTGTAAATTCTAACTGGGCTTTTAAATTGGATTCTTCTTCATCCTGATATAATTGAAGATCCTTTAAATAGGAATACATTAAGCATGAATGGGTTCAGAGTGGGTTCAGAGTGGGTTGAGAGTAGCCCTGAAGAGAAGGAATTGGGAGTGTTGATAGATGAGAAGCTCAACATGAGCCAGCAGTGCGCTCATGCAGGCCAGAAGGCCAACCACATCCTGGGATGTATCAAGAGGAGTGTGGTCAGGAGGTCAAGAGAGGTGATTCTCCCCCTTTGCTCTTGTGAGACTCCGCCTCGAATACTGTGTCCAGTTCTGGTGTCCCCACCATAAGAGGGACGTGGATCTGTTGGAGTGTGTTCAGAGGAGGGCCACAAGGATGATCCAGGGGCTGGAGCACCTCTGCTATGAGGACAGGCTGAGGGAGCTGGGATTGTTCAGCCTGGAGAAGAGAAGACTCCGGGGGGACCTAATAGCTGCCTTCCAATACCTGAAGGGAACCTACAGAAAGGCTGGGGAGGGACTTTTTACAAGGATGTTCAGAGACAGGACAAGGGGAAATGGATTTAAATTGAAGGAGAATAGATTTAGATTGGATCTTAGAAAGAAATTCTTCAGTACAAACTTAGCAAGACTTCGGAATAAATTCTCCAGATGCCCCCTCTCTGGAGGTGTTCAAGGACAGGTTGGACAGAGCCTTGAGTAGCCTGATCTAGTTGAGAGGCGTCCCTATGCGTGACAGGAAGGTTGGATTAGATGGTCTCTGAGGTCCCTTCTAGTTTAGGCCATTCTCAGTGATTCTATGAATGCTATCCCTTGTCCTTAATCCTTTTTGAAAACAAGCCAGGAGCTTCATTGTTTAGTTGCACAATATTAAATGAAAACCTCTGCCAAAATCTTCCCAGAGTTTGAGGTGCTCCTACCCTTAGACAGTTCCAAAGTTTTTCTTCTGACATATAATCCTGTTCAGATCCGTGTGCTCTGATGGCACACCCCATCTGGTTTGCTGCTGCAGAGCTGAATCTCATATCAAAAATCGTTGGCTGTCTTTTGCTTTGGGAATGATATCAGCCATCCCTACAGCCACCTGCAGTAGGTTCACCTGTGAATTGTGATACTACAGATTCGTCTTTCTGGACACAGATTTTGTACTTCAGTTAGTTGAACAGGAAATGAGTATATACTTTTGCTTCTTTTGCAGGGAAATTTGAGAACGGTGTAGCTGAAGGAACAGTTGACCCCAGCCTAAACCCTATTTCATCATTCCGGCTTTCAGTGATACAAAATTCAGCAGTGTGGGCAATTCTGAATGAGGTGAGAGGTGGGACAATCTTTTAAAAATACAACTGGCTAATGTGAGATTTATTCGTTTTGTCAGTGTGTTGAAGCTCAAAATTTTGGTGAACGTTGAAAACAGTTACCTCTTATTACTGAGAAACGCAATACCCTAAAATATGACTTCTTTTTTTTTTCTGATTCTCTGTTTCAGATTCATATTAAAAAACTCACAAACTGATCATGGAAATCCGCTTTAGAGGAAAAAGAAAGAATCCTCGCAAACTTTTCCTACAAAATCTGACATCCTTAGCAAGTGACAAATTGAAAATACTGAGCATGCACCTTATTCCAAATTTCTCGCATTTTCACTTGAACTCTACCTCTTGTGAAATCTACTGTAGATGAGAAGATTGTATCTACCCCTTCTTATCTGATCCATCCAGAAACTGATGCTCCACGCTGATAACATTCGTCTGAGGCCTCAGTTGTCCTCCACTTTAACGTGACTTTGCCATCTTGTGGTTACAGAACCCTGCTATGTTTAACCTGTACTATTTTGATAGTAGCGTAATATAGAGAAGTTGTACATATTATTACATTCCTTGAAGAAGAAAAAAAATATAATTATTGTTAAATATGTTTTATGAAGGGGGTACTTTGGGAGTTCCATTTATTTTCTATAACAAGAGCCCTCTTTTATAGACTGTCAGGGATATATATTAAAAATGTTAGGGATATTTAATTTATTAAAATAATTTGAAAAGTACATATTTTTATGCAGCAAAATTTTAAATTGATATAGTTTTTTTTATGAATTCTCTAGTTTAAGTTATCTTTCTACATTTTTCTTTGGAGATGCAAACATAAATTAATACCATATTTCAAATATACTGCCATGTTTAAAACAAAAACTAGATTAAGTTTCTAAATTATGTAGTTTTGTACACAGAATCTGAATGATGTTCAGAGGCATTAACAGAGTTCTGAAGAGCATTATTCTTTGGGGCTATGAAATTCCACTATGTACAGTTTGTAGCCACATAAAAAGCATGCTGAAATGTCTTGTTTCATATTATGTACTAAATCTTCAGTGATTTTAGATTGAATCCATTGCATTTTAGAAGAATTATTTTCAATTCAGAACAGTTCTTTCTAAAAATCTTTGTAGACATTTCGTAACCTGGACAAATTAATTTTCTGTACTGAAGAAAATCATTCTCCAGCTTTGCTTTGGAGTGACAGAGGTTACCTTTTATCAAAAGAATTAATAGTAATTAGATACATTTGATCTACAGAGGTCTCATTTTACAAAGTGCTGTTATTGTAGTGTTTATTTTAGATACATTACAGTGAGTGGTTACAATTTATTCCCTTCCATAGTTCAAGGTTTCAGTTTGACTCCTTTACTGTTCAGTGTAGTAACTCGCACTAATTTTTAACAGGAACTGAATTCGGCCTCGAGTTACTACCCGGCCTGTTTGTTTCAAGGGAAGCAACAGTGATCCTAAATGCATCAGAAACTTGTCAGGAACAGAAAGTGGTTTGGATTAAATCTGGAGCAGAATTGTAGCAGTACTAACGCTGCCACTGCTCTTAAGAGTCCTTCTGCTTAGGTGCTTATGTGTAAAGGACACAGGCACGAGAATATTTAAATTACCCAGTCAGAAATGGTCCGGAAGAAGAGAGGCAGAAACTCCTGGCTTTAATAAGAACCAAGTGCTTGGCTGACACTGCAGGGAGGCATCCACCCTGACTTGGGGCTTCTCAGCTGTGCTGTGAAGCAGCCTCCTGGAACCGACATCTCAAAAGCTGGCCCAGTCTTCCCTGCGAATACAGAACTCTGTTATTCCCAACATCTCTGTGGTCAGGACATAGATGTGCAAAACCTCTTGCTCTCTAGAGCAGCGATCTTGAATTCGTATCTCCAGCATGGAAGTTTCACTGATAGATTTGGCCTCTTTTTCAGGACATATATATAAGGAGCAGGAGCCAGGACCACTGGCATATCAAGTCAACCTGTCTTTTGTTCTGCCTTGCTGGAAAATCGTGTATTAGCTTTGACATTTCAGCAACATTTAAGTTTAAGACCTCATCCACTTCTACAGATCATAGTCATTCTGGTTTTGCTCTGTTGCCTGGGGACACAGCGAAGACAAGATTTGTACAGAGATAAGACCTTCTGGTCAGACTGGCCGACACAAGTTGAAGAAAAGCAGAAAGCTACCAGGCAGGCCTCGTTTACTATTTTCTGATGGCATCAGGTGGTGTAAATATGTTACTTGGAAAGCTCGCCTTGCCCATGGAGACTGTGGGCATAGGCTAAGCATTGGCCTCATAAATGGAGTTTATTCTTCAATTTGAGAATGTGAGTGAATAGGCTCAGCATCCAGTGTGAATCCAGCCTAGTGTGGCGCCACAGCCTGGTTCGTTATTCGTAATGCCGCACCGCCAAATTATTGCCCATGTGAGGGCTTCAGTGCCCGTTAGCTAGAAAAAGTCTAAGAAAGTATTTAGGTTTTCTTCTCAACTGTGCCTGTGAATGAATGATGCAAGCAATTTAAACTGTAGCTATTTATTACAATTTAGATTGCAGAAACGTTGGATATTGCAGTTTCCTAATGTGAGTAGTTTGTAGACAGTGACTTTCATCTTCTTCCTTGAGTTCAGAAGTTTACTGGTACCACTTACTTAAGAAAGCCATGTGCTTATTCTCAAAGTGTTGCTGTTTCTGACGTTTCACCATAGTCAAGATGAATAATTGAGAACGTATTTAAATATATAGAACCCTTACCACACTGTTGCAGGACTCTGGTTAACAGTGTATTTAGTTTTCAAAAAAATTGAGTTTATCAAACACATCAAATTAACTACTGCTTGGTAAAATATGTGGGCTTTTTTCTAAAGACTTGCATTTTTTTATTACGTCGTACTAGCAGGAGTTGGAAATACTCTTGTGCTGCTTTAACACTTCAAATGTTCCTGAGCTTATATGCTCTAAATAAATGTGCCACACGAGTACAACTTATATTTCTCAGATTCAGGTAAATTGAGATCTGGTGTGATCAGCTAGTTCTGCAAATTTGCTTGGAACTTTTGCTGAGAAATAGAAAAAGGGAGAAATATTTTCTATCTCATTATTCCTGCAGACAGCTATTTTGGACTTTGAAATTCCAATGCTTAAGTCAGGCTAAAGTGGTGCAAGTCTCCTTCCTGGACTTAGGGTGACACAAGACTGCTTCGGCTGCTCGGCTCAGTGGTCACGAGCTCAGGTTCTGTTTGTGACTGGGTCTGCTCCAGAGGGGCTGGTTTCTCTTACGTGTCTTGGTCCTAAGTTACAGTATTACCACAAAAATTCCTCAGCATCTTAAACTTATGACCTGATTTTTGGGAGTTTCTTCCTACGTGTATTTAATTTCAAGTTATTTTGGTTGTGGCCTTAAAAATCCCCTGTAGGCCACTGAATCTTACAGAAATCAAATAATGGCAAGTGTTACAAAATAACCTGCGTTATCCTTTGAGCTGGTTAGCTCCTTCTGGTGCTGTTAAAGCTGCAGAAAAGAGAACCTTTGTGAAACCAAAGGCATTACCAGAAACCTTCATTATCTGGGCAAATTATTCTCAACTTGCACTGGATGCCAAACCGGCTGGCTGATACAAGCAGGAGCTTTTCTGAGCTGATCAGGATTGTTCTGGACCAAGGAACTACAAGGCTGTCAGTATAATCCTGCTTTGCTCGCTCAGTGGGTTGTCCTACTGAAAACTTTTTAGTAATGTGAGCAGGATGCGATCCCAAATTAGCACTGTTTATTTTTTTAGATAAAGAGTGTTTCTAAAGCACCAGTCTAAGGCTTTGCACTTTTGCAGGCATCTCAACCTGTATTTGTGCTGATAGAAAGTATTCCTGTAGATAAATTTTGGGGTTTTATTAACTGGAAGATGGGTTAGAAAAATGATTTGTGGACCAATACAAGACTGCACTCTTCTGTCGTATCACTGCTTGTCCAGCTGTTTCAAAAGCAGTTTTTAAATACCTTGAGACAGTTCAGAGCAAAGCTATTTATACTTTTTCCATGTGATACACAAGTCCTTGAATGTGATTAGTCTTTGGCAAAATTAATCAACATTTTTACTTTATTTTTTTTCAAGTATATTATAATTCCAGTAATCTTTGGTTTTTCTTGGAAATATCTGCTCCAGACGAAGTATTGTAGTAATATGTAGTTTGCTTCCAACTTGGAAAATACTATTTTAGACTTGTAGAGGGAAAAGAAAAAAGATTTAAATCTTTTTAAACCTTACTCTGAAATAAATCAACCCTAGGTTTTATATTTGTTCTTACTAGGAAGTATGTATTCTGAAAAAGCTAAAGCAAGTAACTGTAGGAGAAAGGGAGGAAAAAACTCCTTGTGTTTTTAAATCATCTTTACAATCACCAGCATAATGCTGAAAGTCTATTGAACAGCTGATGTTTTCAGGCTAGCAGTGATTCCTGACGTAAAAAACACACCCCAAGAGACCTGATGGATTAATCTTTGAGTGTCACTTTTCTGATACAGTGGTTTCTTAAGGGTTTTGCTGATTTCTGCTGCAAACAGCGAGCTGCTAGGATTTCAAGCAGCTTAACTTTGAGATTGATGAAGCCTTCTTTCAATGAGACAAACTTTGATATCTCTATAAGGAAGGTACACAGGCCCCGAGTCTCCAATTTTCAGTAGTAGCGCACCATAGGGTGCTAAATACGAACTATTTTTACTGTTGAAGTGAAGTGGGTGATCGCTGGTGCTGGGATTCCTGTTAACATGAAGATAGAGGGTTAAGCTGCAGCTGCCTGCAGGACAGGAGCTTGTGCTGTTAGCCAGGGTGGGAGCAGGTCCTGCTTGGAATCCTTCGCCTTCCAGGGATGAGCAGTTTAGGGCTTTCCTTGTTAAAAGGGGAACATTGCTCAGCATCTGCTGAGAGGGGAACGTGATTCTCTTCAAGCCTTAACAGTGGCTGAAACACACAGTACTGTAAGATGCACTGCCAGCATATTTGGTATCTTTTAAGATAAATATAGTTTTTCCTTAGAGCTCAAATTCTAGTATTGAAATACTAAGTCTTTCTGTAACCAGTTTATTCTTGTGTTGTTTCGGAAACTGAATCCTAGCGCTCACGTTTCATATACTGAACAGTGCTTTGGAAAGTTGTCATCTTCATTTCCCAGAAGGAATTATTGTTTGTGCCGGTCAGTTTAGCCTCCTGCCTCGTGGACTTCACAGCTGCAGGCATGGCCACGAGCTCACCCTTGTAGCCAAACTGAACTTGTACTTCCCTCCCATGGTCATCGACCTGCCACTCATCGCAGGAGATGCAGTAATACCTGCTGGACTCCTAGAGATTGGGTTTGAAAACCTGCTGCTATATTTGGAAACTTGATATGGGTCATGGTAATTGTGCCTTTCATCACTGTTTCTGCTGTGTGCCAGAGTTGTCCATGTATATTTGAAGTAGTCATTAAAATAAATCTGTTCTCAAGTTCTTGCATAAAAGAAGGGGACAGTTCTGTAGCTAGAGACAGCTGTTGCTTTACCATCGCAACGCTATTATGATCTGTACTTCCACACAGTCCCAAGGCGAGGTATTCCAGTGTTACTCTTAAATACAACTGCTTTTTGGTGTCACTTAAAACCCTCATAATGTAGAGCTTAAGCCAGTATGTGCAAAATATCTGCAGTAAGAGTTATGCTCAATAGACTTGTTGCAGTTAAATTTAAGCTACAGAGGTGTACAAGTAACTTGTTTTTAGGAATGTACTGCAAAAGTATTTGAACAAAATTGCTAACATGTTTACTGTTGTAAATATTTTAATAGAAAAAGGACACGTCAAACTTTTTTACACAATTATCTACAATAAAGAGAAATTTACAACCATTTACAAAATGTTCTTAACTTTTTCTTTACTGTCAAGACAGCTAAGATAAAAGCAAAATAAACATTAGCTACACGAAGTCCTGGTTTTATTTCACTCTGTATTTATAGAAGGAACAAAGCATCTTGGTGAAGTTCCATCCGCATGCTAATGAGATCAAATAGAGCATGATGAGAAGTGCAAATGGGTACAAAAGAATAGCCGTGTTCTTCAAAAAGGGCAACGCTGCAAGAGAAGCAATAATGGAAGCA